AGGCGAGCTTGTAGACCATCAGGTCACTGGGACCCGCTTCTAAGTCTCATGATGAAATCCCGTAACCAATCAAATCTATGTAAACCAACGCTTGAATGAATATCGATCTGATGCTCACTGGAGACTGGCCCTATTAAGGTAGGGGATTCTAGTAGGAAGTTGTGAACAGTGGGGTACAGCTGGTCGGGAGGTGTGAGGACAAATACTCTCCATCGATGACATCGGCTAGTGGTCGTGCTATGTCGTCAATTAGCTGAAGTTGAAATTCATGGGTTGGTCAATGGATCTGGTCCCAGTGGGTTGATGGTCTACGCCCTTGTCTTGTGATCAGGAGGTCCTGAGTTCGAACCTTCTTGGTGGTGCGTACTGCTGGGGAGTCCGCAACTAGGCTGACGAGGCAACTATTCAGTACTCCCATCTGGTTTTCTAATGGTTTTCTGACCGATGTCAGCTGATGGTGAAATCATGTAAGTAGTAGTTTATTGGGATTTACATAACGATTTACCTTCAGGTAGTCGATCTTTTAGAGAAACCAGATATACATCTATGCTTGATTGATGAGTTGTGTGGTCCAACGGTTAGGTGTACTACAGTTCATCCAGTTAGATCCTTGAAGTCTAGGTATGCTGGGATTATATATTAGTTTGTGACGAGTAGATTTTAAGTATTTTCAAAGGTTGGTTTATATGGATTTGATTGATTCCAAAATTAGTCACAAAATGATTTCATTTAAAGAACCATTGAAAACCAGGGAGTACTGGGCATCTCTTTCGTCTTTCTTCGGGACTCTATATAACCCTACTAGGGGTCGAACCTAAGACGTTCAAAATTACAAGGTTAGCTCGTTAACATTTCAGTTACTGGAACAGACAGAATCCAATTGCGCATCAATTCTAACTTCTGTCAGCTGTGGATGTATAGTGAGACCACTAGCTGATGTTATCGGTGAGCATTTGTTCTTACACCCAACTTGTTAGACGTTGCTAGTCACCACTTCTCACTAGAACTTCAAGCAGCTTCATTCTGCAGTCATTCTGTTGGTTTGCAGCGATTTGATTGATTTTAAGCGTAGTTGTATCCATGCATTTGTATTTGTAAGTTAGTTTTATTGTATTAGCGGTGTTGAAACTATCTTTCTAGCCGTAGATGTTTATGATTGCCAGTTACATTACATCGAGTCCCCCGTACAAACTGGAAGACAAGTGGTTTTTGGAAAATTTGACTCTATGTGGACGGAAAGCTTTGTTTTGGAACATGTTTTCATTCTCTTCGAAATTTGGAGTACATATGTAAAGGTGTGCTGCAACGAAATCACAATGGTTTGCTTTCACCAAGAAATATTTTTTCTCCCTTGATTTGAATAAAGCTAATCTTTTTTTTCTTCATTTATTTCTTTTCACCCTTACATTCAATTTTATGTTTCCTGGTATTATTCCACTTTTGTTCCATTCTTTTCCATGTGCTGATAATTGTTAGTGCGTGTTGACCAATTCACTTATTTGGGAAGTTGCATCAACCCAGATTTGGACTGATTGTTGAGGAAATCTCATCACGCATATACCAAAAGCTCGTGTGGCATTCGCCAACTTACGTTATCTCTGGCGTAGACTTGATATTTATTTTTTCTAATTTTTGATTACAGCTTGATGCCACACCGTATTTTCAGTACAAGTATGGCATTTTCAGCATGGATATCGGTAACCAAAATTTCGCAGGCCAACCATTGATATCGAGTGTGCGTCGGCAGGGGATCGAACCACGGACCATGTGCATGGTCGGCGAGAGTCCTAACCACTGATATCAATAAAAAAGACGTGTGTAATGTGAAGCAGTTCTCTCTGTCCTCCTTTATAGCTGTGAGACATGGCCATTGAAAGCGGAGGATATGTTAAAGTTAGCTGTCGTTGATCATAGGTGTCTCTGTTCTGTCATTTATGTTAGGGAGTATAATAAGGTGGGTAGGAGGGAGGGCAAATCAATAGATAAGGTTGTGCAGCTACATCGATTGAGATGATGGCTAATAAATGTGTAAATAATGGCTAGACATCGCCTAGGCTACCTGGATAGGGCCCTCGAGATTCTAAGAACCAATGGCTGGAGATAATTGTTGATATGACTCTAAATCGTTCTCAGTGATGACTAGATGTATTCACTTTTTGTGATCTGCCGTATCTATTGAAACTGTATTGCTTTCCCATGCTACTATTCTTTTTCCTTCACACTTCTCCTTATTATCGTTCTTTTGAATCTTTCTTGTTTCCTCTCTTTTATCTTTCTTTATGTGGTCCATGAAGTGTGTCAACCAGAACTGGTACACTTCTTTGCCAGGTTTTATGTTGAAATTAGTCGGTGAGTCAGTCAGTCATGTGCTATTTCGATAGGCAGTATGTGAATTCTGTGTGAGAGGCATGTGTCGATCTGGCTGTCGACTCGATTGTTGTAATTTCATTATTTTAACGTCTGCAGTACTCACTGGGTAACGCGGATTCAAGCCTCAGAAGGGACATGAGTTGTTCCTTCAATGTGGCTGTGTATATGCCTTGCTGACTGGGAGTGCCAACTTGCACGAAACATAGGTCAGGCAAGGCTTCCTGTCGATTACTTCTAACCACCATGATGGCGACATACCTAGAATGGTAGCCACATTGCAAACTTGACTGATAGAATTCAGCCTGCATCAAACAGAGGACAAGACACATCACACTATTTTATTTAAATAATCATACATTCGTCTTTTGTGACTAATCTTCATCAAACATTTAATCATTAAAAGACTTCACCTTCACATTAAACTGTAGTTTTATTCTTATTGTATATTTTTGTTTTTTTATTCTTCACTCTTCAGAATTATGATGTTAACTGTTATCCGGCATACAAATTCACCGGTGAAATTTTGGTTTTTAAAAAATTACCTGTCACCAACATTTAAAGATTTTATACCATATATGGCAGCTGAATATGGTTTTGAATATGAATTTGTTCAGTACAAATGGCCACGTTGGTTACACGCTCAAACAGAGAAACAACGTATTATCTGGGGTTATAAAATATTATTCTTAGATGTTTTATTCCCCTTGAATGTGACAAAAATAATATTTGTAGACGCTGATCAGGTAGGTTGAATTTCTTTCACCACCCCCCTGCACACATTGTTTGTGATGAAAATGATGAGTATAATTTACTTTCTTTTACTTTATTAGAATGCTAAGAGGGATGTTACAATTTAGCGTATGGTGATTAGCAGTGGGATCCAGGATGTGCATCTCATCCTATTTGGAACTGGTCATTCCAGTGTACTTACTGAGACACGAACCCACTACCCCCATGCTTTTAGACGTCTCCGAAGCGTTATTTACTACAATATTTGAGCCATTAAAGCCACCTGTTGTACAACAGGCGTCAGTTATTATTTGTTTGACAAAAAATTCAACTTTTGATTACCCAGCTGATGGATTAGACCGAAATATTCGGCCTCTGTGGACATCGTAGATTCCGCTGCTAATCACCATCCAATTAATCCTCGAACTTCGTTGAAATATCCGTACTAGGAGCCGACATTTCCACACAGGTCGAACATTGTGGTCTAATCAACCAACAGGATAATCAAAATTGAATTAAAAAAGCAGATGTTATTACTCTGAGAAAACCATCAAGTGACATCACACGCCAAGCTCTCTCCCTCTCTCTCGAGTGGAACTCGAATAGGAAGCAGTGAGTTAGTTGGTCGTCAATGCGAGAGTGACACGGAGTGGAGGAGGTCATGCGAAGACGAGATGAAAGCATGTGGACAGACCTGGAGCCAGGTGATGAAAACGTCGGCGGGGAACCGAATGCAATGGAGACATGTGGCTGAAGCTCTATGTTCCTCCAGGAACTAAAGGAGATATAATAAATAATAATTACATTTATTTACTACTTTTCTAAAATGACGGTTTGTTTTCTAATGAAGAGGGAATTAATATATATATATATATATGTCTTGGTGATGTAAATTGTATCACTTTTTAATAAATGTCATTGTGAGCTGTTCCTCCCTCTAGATTATGAATGTGCAAGTTATTATCATTATTCCCTTGGTTTCCTGGTGGGACATAGACGATCAACAGCACATCTCCATTTTGTCCTGTTCTCTGCAGTCCTCTTCAGCTGGCCCCACTATTTTGCATAATCCCTCGTTTCCTCACACGATCTCCTCCATGTCACCCTCAAAGTGACGCTGAACTCGTCGTTCCCTACTTGTTTTCCACTCGAGTGATAACCTGGCGTGCAATATCATCGACTATGCCTAGTAGTTTTGCTAGTTCGCTAGTTTTCTAGCCGATCTTAAGTTTTGGAAAAGTGGGAGGGTTTGACGTGAGACTAGCCATCCGACCCCGAAAAATCAATCCAGTCGCTACAGAAACTTCAAAGCAGACGGAAAATATAGAAAAACAAACTTATTCTTCGCCGGAATCGAAGAGAAAGTGACACAACGGGCTGATGAAAGCCTTTGGCAAGCCAGTCAGCCGATGTATCTTCTTTCGAAGAAAGCAAAAATAAACATTGAAACCTGAAATGTTTGTGCTATATACGAGACTGAGAAGGCTGCCCAGATTGCTAAAGAAATGAGAAGAAGTTCTAGGAATCTGTGAGAGTAGGTGGAATGGATGGGGACTATCTACGTTGTTAACTGGAGAGTCAATAATTTCCTCCGGTCACCTGCCCAGACGAAAAGCACGAGCACACTGAGGCAATGAGAGGCAATCATGATGTCACTTACAACAGCCATATCTCTTATACAGTGGGAACCAATCTCCTCCAGAATAATGACAGCAAGATTCACTCCAAAAGGAAGGAAAGTTGCAATTATCCAATGCTACGTGCCTGCAAGTGTACAACTTGATCAAACTATTTTGTAATCTGTTAACTACCTGTGAAAATGAATAAAAGCTTGTCTCTAGCTGTTAATTAGCATCATCTGACGTTGTTTCATCCCATCCAAAAGCTTTTTTTCAAATCCATAAGATATATATATATCTTAGAAATGTTTGCTATTAAGATAGTTGAAGCTTAAATGGAGAATTTTTAAGTACAATTTCTTAGTGGTTTCATTTCATCATTCACATATCCTCATCTGTGTATGTTAAATCAACACGCACCAATCAGTACTAACGGGAGGAATTTAAAGAGGACTCATTTATTGTTTCACTTACCTAAATAACATTGCTGCAGCTACAAACGATACGGGTGAAGATGCTGAAGGCAGTCAAAATCGGAAAATCAAGACAGATCGTTCATTACCCTGAAATCAATGTAGAAATCTACTGCAATTAGCGAAAAGATGTGGATTTTCAACACTGGTGTCAAATCAGTACGTCTGTATGGTTCAGAAACCTGTCATACACGTCATTAAAAGCATTTCTAATTGGCTACTGTAAGTGTTCCTTACTGGAAATCAGAGGGCGTGTCAGAAAGAATAACCAATTAGGGACTATATGAAGAAGCAAACCAACCAAAAACCTATCACCTAATAAATATGCAGGAAAAAGTGGAGATGAACCAGATACACACTGAAGAGGTGGTTGAGTGACATTACGCTTCATGCTCTATAGTGGAACCCAAATGGGATTCTGAGGGTGAAATGGGGGAGATAAGTTGATTGGGGGGGGGCTGTGGTCCATCGTTGGGCCAGGTGGAATTGACTGCAGATAACAGGATGACATGGAGATGTGCTGCTAAAACCCTGTGTTGCACTCGGAACACAGGGTATCGTATATCCAGATCGAAGAAGATCCTGAACCCAGCTGTGATTCCAGATGACTAATCGATGCCTCAGAATATTGTGTGCTGTAACTGCCGTGAGAATAGCATGATTGTTTGTTTCTTCATCGATGACGAACTAGAACAACAACAAGGTTGAAAAGCACAAAGTCTATGAATAAATGTCAACATAAATCACAATAATACTCTTGATATTTTTTCTTCAGTCTTCTGGCAAACCATGTACGGTTAAGCAATGACTGACATTGTTGTCTCCCGCCAAATGGAGATCAGTTCGAATGAACAAACCATATATTGCTCACTCAGTGTTCACCAACACGGATACATGGGAATAATAATATTAATAATAAAATAATATATGTTAGGTCGTTACTTGATTAGGCGCATGTTACCATTTCATTTATACAAGCTAATGCATATGATGAAGGGCACTTCGAACAAACTACACATCTTCATCAACAGCTGTCTTTACTCACTACTACTCAACATCAGATAGCCGGCTAGAAAAGATCAGCAACAGGGAGAGATCTCTGGCAATGAGCGAACCAATCCAGCAGGAACCAATTGTGCAACAAATATGCAGGAAGAAATGGAGGTGGATTGGCCATACTCTGAGAAAACAAATCATCAAGTGACATCACACAATAGGCCATCGCTCGAGTGGAACCGGGACGGGAGCGGCGAATTGTTCGTCAATGAGAGGGTGACATAGAGGAGATCATGTGAAGAGGAGATGAAAGCATGTTGACAGACGTTGAGCCAGGTGATGAAAACGTTGGCGGAGAACCGAACGCAATGGAGACGTGCAACTGAAACCCTATGTTCCTCTAGGAATTAAAGGAAACAATAATAATTATGTCTATGACATATTATGTGGAAACTATAAATCCCATCTACTATGTTTTGTGTTTTATGGATAGACATATGAGTTTTGTTTTAGTCAATGTTATGAATCAATTTCTTCTTTTCCCTCTTTTTTGCTCTATATAGATCGTTCGAGCAGATTTAAAAGAATTAGCTGATCTTGATTTAGGCGGTGCACCATACGGTTATACACCATTCTGTGATTCACGTAAAGAAATGGATGGTTTTCGATTTTGGAAACAAGGTTATTGGGCTAATCATTTAGCTGGTCGACCATATCATATTTCAGCTTTATATGTTGTCGATTTAACACGTTTTCGTCGATTGGCTGCAGGTGATCGACTTCGTGGTCAATATCATGGTTTAAGTCAAGATCCGAATAGCTTGTCGAATTTAGATCAAGATTTACCCAATAATATGATTCATCAGGTAAGTCTTATTTCTTTTTTTAAAATTCCTTTACGTTCCTAGCGAAACATAGGACTTCAAGCTAGAGGGTTAAAGTTTTGGCAGCAGTGGTGTGTATTTTTAAGAGATGGGGTTGCTTGACTCATGCCCAACCTTCCCTCTTTACTAGTTTTATTACTGGCTTAGCGAGGTAAAGGAGTGCGACGGCCGAGAATCGAACTCCGGACCACCTGCGTAATCAGCGAGCACTCTACCTCTGTTTCGTTCTTATTGGTTTATTTTACTGAAGTTAATTGAATTCTTATTCACGTGTTGGTTTGCAGGGATTTGATTGGTTCCAGGATTTTATCATCAACTGACATTGGTTAGAAAACCCTTGAAAAACCTGTAGGGATTACTGGTGAGCGATTTCGTCTTAGTTTAGGACTCTTCAGTGAAGACTCAGTTGATGATGAAATCCTGAATTGTTATCGCTTTCTAAAATTAATTTTCGCTGCATTTCACTGAAAAATAATGTTCTACATTTTTATAAATTCAAGACTGTAGGATTGAGTTTTCCTGAACGAAGGGAAATTAGGATATTATGAAAGTGTTTTAGAATGAATAATTTATATTTTATACAACGAGTTCCCTTCATTAGTTCGAATATGGAAAAAAATTGAACATTTTTGCAGGATAACACAAGCTCGTTTTATTCCGTGGATTCTCTTCAACTGTGCATACATCCTAAACACTATCGAATTGTAAGTTGAAGAAATTTCTGAACATACCTCCCCTCACAATGACGTCGAGTAGTTACAGATAGAAAGTATAAGCAACATAATTCCCCAAAAATAATGTAAATAGACAAATCACTGAGTGTTGAAAGACTAACTGTTAACAGTACAATTAGACAAACAGGGGAGAGGGTTTAGATTTCGATTGGAAATAGGGATTGAGTAAAAACAAACTACAAGATCGAACAACAGAGTGAATTTCTAAATATTATGATGGAGATTCATATGAACTGTGATCAAGATTTGATCGAATAGTTCTAAAATAATTGGACGCCGAGTGGGAAGTAGACATTTGTCAAAATGATATTTGATTGCGTGGAGGGTTTCATCATGAGCTGACATCAGTAAGAGAACCACTGGAAAACCTGGGAGTACTGGACAGCTGTTTCGTCATAATTTGGAACTCTTCATCAGTGCGCACCACCGGGATTCTAACCCAGGACCTTCTGGTTACAAGGTCCCGAACTAGGACGAAACAGCTGTCCAGTACTCCCAGGTTTTCCAGTGGTTCTCTAATTGATGTCAGCTCATGATGAAATCCTCCACGCAATCAAACAAAATCCCTACAAAACCAATACTTGAAAATTATATTTGTAAAATCTCAACGAAATTGAAATGAGGAATTCCAACGTTTCATTCGGCAAATTGACCCGAACTTCTTCAGGGTAATTAATCGGAATTAAAATAACAAGTGGTCTAGTGGATAAGGCTTTGGCGTTTGAAACTATGAGTACTGGGTTCGAGCTCCGGTGGGAACTCACTGGGGGACGCAGGTACATCCAGATTACTAGTCCCAAATGGGACGAAATGCGCATCCTGGATTCCACTGCTAGTCACCATTCACCAGTTAAATTCTAAAATAACAGAGGTTTTTATAAAAAACAAAGGACATCTCTTGTTTTTAAAAACTTTGTCCAATCACGTGAATCATAAAACAAAAGCATCAAAATATAATCAACAAAATTGCATGAACTGTGATTAAAATTTGACCTCAGACTTACAGCGTGTACTTTTTCATCAGAACTTTAGTGATCACATCCGACTAAAGTTCATGGTTGTAAATAACTGAATATGAAAAATATAGATGTATTTGCGGTATACCATTGTGTGTGTGTGTTCATGATGGAATAATTGTAAAGCATCTGTTAGGCTCTCCATAAGAAGTTATAGACCAAGTATGATTAATCAAGACTTGCCATGCATCAGCTAAAATCACACCATGTCTGTTCAAACTTTTGGGATTCACCCATGTATGTAGGGCTTACGCAGTCAGTCTTTCTCTGCAGGAACCTTAGTCCCGTTTCTGTCTAGTGCAGTGCAATCCCCGATCTGTTTTATAGTGTCTTGAAGTCTCCCTCACTCTTACATTTATCTGTCTGGAAGTTTCTCCGACATATACGGTGTCACAATCCCTACAATTGATCTGGTACACACAATTCTGTTGGTTTTCTTCTTTTTTATCTATAACCTTCACCACTGATGAGCGTCAGGTGGTAGTTGCACGAAAATAGAGTCTTATGTCATGATTATTAATAATTCGCTTTTTCTCATCCAATGTTTCTTTGCAGTAAGGAATCACCATTGTGCTAACCCAATTCATTGCAACAGATTTCGATTCATCCTTATCTTCACATCTTTTTATGAAGTCTTTGGGATAATTATTTGATTCAAGAGTGTAGTGAACCAATTTTAGTTCTCCGCCGCTGTTCTCTTCCTCCTCAGTAACTAGACATTTGAGTCTGTTAATCAGATTCTTGGCCACATATGATTGGACAAAGTTTTTTAAAAACAAAAGATGTCCTTTGTTTTATATATAAACCTCTGTTATTTTAATTTCGATTAATTTCCCTAAACAAGTTCGGACCAGCTTGCCGAACGAAACCTAGGAATTTATCATTTCCATTTCGCTGAGGTTTTACAAATATAATTTTTACGTATGTCAACTTCTCACTCGGTGCCCAATTATTTTAGAACTATTTGATCAAATCTTAATCACAGTTCATATGGAACTTCCATCATAATATTTATAAATTCACTCTGTTGTTCGATTTTGTAGTTTGTTTTAAGTCAGTCCATGTTTCCAATGGAAATCTAAACCCTCTCCTCTGTTTGTGTAATTAAACTGTTAACAGTTAGTCTTTCAACACTCAGTGATTTGTCTATTTACATTATTTTTGGGGAATTATGTTGCTTATCTTTTCTATCTGTAACTACTCGACGTTCAATTCGATAGTGTTTAGGATGTATACACAGTTGAAGATAATCCGTGGAATAAAACGAGCTTGTATAATCCTCCGAAATTGTTCGTTCTTTGTTCATAATGATTTATACCTGTACTGGTTATTTGCTCACTGACAGATTGTAAAACAGTTATGTACTCACCGATGGCTAACATGGAATTTGCGATGGCTAACCGTTCACCAACTTGAGTTGACATATTTGAAGTAATGACTGTTTGTAAGACAGCCAGTCATTGAGATATGACTCTTTTCACAGACTTCAGCTATTATTTAGGTTAGATTTCGACTACACGATTAGTTTTCACGTCAGCGTTTAGTTGTCTTTGTAAGTGTCTCTCGCTTTGCTGATTACATACATTCGAATATCGTCGTTGAAATCTAGGAAGCTTTGGAAGATTTAGTGTTATTTTCCCGGTATTCAAGCGGATATTTTGTGACAAAAATACAACAATTTGACGTGAATTTGTTGTAGTGTTGTTTAATTATAAAGGCAGCACTAAGAATCTGAATATGTTAATCGAGGCATTTTATTTGAATGCATACTATCAGTGTCAGTGTCTGTAAGAATGGTATGTGCTTTGCATCGTCTAAGTGTAAAGTACTGTTACAAGATTAGCAGGAGCCTGTACCTGCACTCACTCTTGCAGGTTGTTGATAAGTTTGTGTATCTGGGTAGTTGTGTGAGTGCTGGCGGAGGGTTTCATTCCCCTTAAATACCGTAATACTGAGATGTTGGTGCATCCAGCTGGTCAGTCCGAAATTAGATTGAATTCGTGTCATACATTTTAATGTTAGTCACTTGGTAGCAAATGGATCAAGTGAGGTTTAAAGGTACCGTCAAAGAATGCTCACATGTCTACGGAAACTGATTATTTTGGTCCCGTGACAAAATACCACTGAAAACCAGGAAGTGGTGGGTAACTGTCCCATCCTAGTCTGGGGTTTATTGGCAGTATCTACCAATGGGTTTCAACCCACAACCTACTGGTCAGGAGGAAAGCTACCAAACCATTCATCCACTGGGACCCGATTCAATGATCCCTGAATTCTAACTTCTACCAATTCGTGATTTGAGCGCTACCACCAACCAGTGTCATCGGTAAGTATTTAGCTTTACTCCCGACTTGGTAATGGACTCCAGTGGTCATGACTTCTCACTAAAACTCCAGTCAACTTCGTGTTGTAGGCAGTCACTAGTGAACATCAGATCAATTTTCAAGAGTTAATTAGTGGGAATTTTACTTATTTCAAGTTTGATTGATATCAATTAGAGAACCTTTAAAAACCAGGCAGTACTGGCTGAATGGTCTACGAGCTTGATTTGTAACCAGGAGGTCCTGGGTTCGAACCTCGGTAGATCCTAAACTAGGACGAAACAGCTATCCAGTACTCCGTAGTTGACTTTTCAATGATTCTCTAGCTGATATCAATTCGTGATCGAACTTGACATAAGTCAAGTCCCTATAAACTGAATCTTGAAAATGACAGAAAATTCACAAACTTTGATTAATGCCTAAGTACATCAACGGATGAAGGGAATCACTAAGCGCATTATTGTATGAAACAAACTCCTTGCCATTGATAAAGCAAGTTTGTGCAACTAAAGACAATCAAGTAATCAATTAGTAAAAGCTTACTAGAAGATTACTGAATTCTGTTTTCTATAAGAGTTAGTATTTAACATTTCTTGTATACTGACAGCTTTTTTTCAAAGTATTACTATAGCAAATTTTTTGGTAGATTTGGTTTGCATGAGAAACACTGCATAGATACAAAGTTCATTAAAAAAAATATCGACCATTTATTGACACACAAATATGGGAACAAAGTTCTGAGAATATCAGGTCAAAAGTCGTTATTAACGTTGTACTTTGTACATTGATAACGTATTCATTGAAGAGCGCTTTGCAGAAATTTCTAGGTTTGATTCTTATGCTGAGTGATGCTCATTATGCAGAGCTCTTACAAATTTTGTTGGAATTAATTATTTTGCCTAGTTTGGTTTTAAACCGAAGGATGATGATGTTTTATTAGGTGGTTTATCTAATGCTTGATCGAAGTGCTCAACAGTTCGGTTGTGAGTGAAACATGGCCATTGAAAGTGAAAGACATGAAAAGGCCGGATAGTTTTCTTTGATTATAGGTGCCTGCATTCTATCTCCCGTGTTAAATGGTATAATAAGGTGAGCAATTTAGAGGTTAGGCTTCGGTCGACTACTAGGTAAGGATGAATAATCAATCGATGAGGTTGTGGTGCTGCTACATCGATTGAGATGATTAGGAAATGTGTTGCGCATGCCTTGTCATCGCCTTCCTCGACGGGCAATGTTAGCTGATATAGGGTCAGGTTCGAACAGAGCCAGTGGTGGTCACACTGAAACATGGCTTCAGCATTCAATGAAATCCACAACAGTTAGTTTGAGCCAGCCACGTAGGGAGGTGTAGACTACCTGACTGGTTGGATTTCGCGGGATGGTGAAAACCAATGAAGACTGCAGGCTGTCTGTCTGTTTGGTTTCAACATAGGACTTTGCACCGATGTGCAGCAGTTCGAGTCGTCACACTTTACTCAGCAAACAAAGCCGAAGAAGAAAGTAAAAAGAAATGCAAAATAAAGACAGTAAACAGAGATATGAGGCAAAAAGAATGTTATTGAAGAACAATGCAGTTTTATTGGAAATTATAAGTCACAAGAAGTGTATGCATCTGCGCCAGCCATTGATAACGATGACTTTGAACCACATCACCGATTCTCTCCAGCCATTGGTTTTCTCCACCCTGAGGACCCCCAACAAACCTGGCAGTCTACACATCCCAACATGACTGGCTTAAACTAACTGTTTTGGATTTCATTGACTGATGAGGCCATGTTTTGGTTTGACTATCACCGGCTCTTTAACAACCTAAACTTATGTCACCTAACACTGACCGTCGAGGAAGGCAATGACCGGGCATACGTAGCCCATGTCTTAACTATCTCAATCGATGTAGCTTCACAGTCTCGTTTACTGATTTCCTCTATTTACCTAGCACTCGACGCCTAACCTCGATAATGGTCTCCCTACTATACCATTTCACATGGGAGATAGAAGACAGGCACCTACGATCAAAGACAGCTAGCCTTTTCATGTCCTCTACTCTCAATGGCTAAGTTTCACAGCCATAAAGAAGGACGGAGAAGACTACTGAGCAGTACACCTGCCCTTTAATCTATAGCCGGATATCATGTCTACGCCAGAGACGGCGTAAACTGGCATATGCGAAACGAGCCTTCCGTATCCGTGTTGAGATTTCATCGGCGATCAACCCGTTGGAGCAGCAGGCAATTGGTAATATTGCTCAAACTCATCATTCTCAATGTCTGGCTGCATTCACTCTTTGTGATTTTTAACACCCAATAAAGTTATATTGTTCTTCCATATTACTATTCTTTTCTCCTCATATTTCTGTTTATTATCTCTCTCTCTCTTTTGAATATCTCTTTACTCTGTTCTCTTGCTTTATGTGGTAAATGGAGGAAGTATGGCAACTCGAACTGGTGTACATTTGTGTGAAGTTCTACGTTGAAATCAGTCAGTCAGTGAGTCAGTTAAACTAATCCTGTTTGCCCCCTTGTGATAAATCTTAATTGTAGGTAACGTACGTTCAAGGGTTAGCAATTCCATGTAATCATTTCGATTTCATTAAATATATTTTTCGTGACTCTATTCATTTCATTACTTTATCCACTTCGAATTAAAGGTACCAATCAAATCTCTACCTCAAGAATGGCTATGGTGTGAAACTTGGTGTTCTGATGAAAGTTTAGCAAAGGCTAAAACAATCGATCTGTGCAATAATCCACGGACAAAAGAACCTAAACTGACAGCAGCAATGCGTATTGCACCAGAATGGGTGGATTATGATCGTGAAATTAAAAAATTATGGAAACGTGTTTATCAATCTTCACCACAACCGCCTATAGAACATACAATCGAAGAGACTAAGTCTACAGATAGTCCATCAACTTCTACACTTCCTACTGCATCAGAGGATACTACTTTGAAAGTTGGTATGTGATCATTTATTTCTTTATGCTTTCGATTTGTTTGTAAATTAAAAAAGAAAGTTCGTATCATTAGTTGTTCACATGTGCTGTACTCGGAGTACCTAATTAGAATTGGCAAGAGGAGCCTGTCGGTTTTATTTGTGTTAAAGCCGCTATCTTGTAATTCAGTGCTACATTTGACATCCGTCATCATCAGAACAGATTTTTCATGTATTACCATGGTGTGAGCCAAACCTATTGTCTGATGACTGATCATAATATACTCAATTTCCCAGTCTGAAGTATTTGAAGTGCTGTATCTCTCATTTCAGAGTGAGGAATAATGTTGCTATACATTGCAAATCATAGAATGGAAGTCAAACTTCTAACTCAGCAAATTCATCGACTTCGAAAAGGCCTTCACCAGACAGCGTTGACCGAGGAGTAAATTTGAAACTGCTTCAACGCTACGGCCTAAGTCTTTATCAACTTCATTCAACAGCTGCGTGGCTATATGAAAATGCCTGTCACATGTCAGATGATACACAATAGAAAACTCAGAGAGGCGTTCGAAGTGAATAGAGAAGTAAGACAAGCTGGCTGCCTGACTATTATCACCATCGATGATATTCTTAATTGTGGTGGACTGGATTATGCATCAAACTCTAGGAGATCTGGATTTTGCGTGTGGATGATTTATGTTTAATGTCACACAGAATCGAAGACTTGTAGGGAGGCGAAAACGAACAAACTGACAGAAGAGGCTGTCAGGCGGCTAAGACAGGATTCCAGGTGGAGATAGAAAACATGGAGGTGATGAAGATAACCAACCACCACCACCACCAACAGCAACAACAACCAGCACCAAACACCATCAACGGGAGAGATTTGAAAGAGGTTACTTCCTTCACTTATTTGTCTAGGAAGCATGGTTTTAACCACGTAAAGCAGGCCAAAATTGGAAAGGCAAGATATTCTTTCATCAACCTGAAACCAATTTGGAAATCTTCTGCACTCAGCCAGCATAAAGAACAAGATTCGGATTTTCGGCACAAATGTGAAGTCGGTCAGTTCTTCTATACAGGTTTAAAACTTGCAATACGTGTTCCGAACAGGATTTCTAACAAGCTACGGACATTTATCAACAGCTGCCACCTTCTCTGACTGGCCGACCGACCGGCCAGAAAGAACTATCAACAAGAAACTCTGGCAGAAAACAAATCAACGAAGAGCCGATTGTTCAAAAAATATGTAGGAGTAAATGAAGACAGATCGGGCATATGTTGAGGAAGCCGTCGAATGACATAGCGCACAATGCAGGCCATCCTTCGAGTGGAATCTCAATGGGAAGTGACGAGTGGATCTTCGGTGCGAGGATGACATGGAGGAGATTGTGTGGCGACAAGGAGATGAGAGATTATGGTCAATCGTGGACCCAGCGATCTGAAGAGAACAGCCGTATAGTTCTATTCGGAACCCAAGGGAATAATAATGATATAATTTTAAAACTTAGGACAGGAGCACACTTCTTAAATCAAATTTACAATTTACAAATTGATTAGGAATTTTACAATATGCACAATTCGATGGGATGAAATTTTCACTACATTTTTCAGATCACAGTGTTTGATCTGCCTCATACCATTTGCATACTACTGATTGATTAATCGATATGAATAGTTGCACACCACTGTAATCAAACGCTAGTGCTTTCTCGTCATCCAGATTGAGGTGATCTAATCACCGAATGGCTATTTCTGTCGTTTAGAGCCGACCTCATCAGCGGTGTACTCGTTTTGATTCAGTTCAGATAGAAAGACAGCTGAAAGGTATATAACTACTCATTTCAGTCAATCAGTAGTATATAGTTTTAATGCAAACATACTTCCTAATTACACACTGATTTCTCACCTAAATATCTGAATATTCTTGACTCAATCTTCTTATAACATATTAGTAAAAAAAACAACAAACAGAAACTTGAATAGAACCATTTTGTTTGTTCAACTGATGTGTTAGTACACAGTGGAACACAAAAAATCGTCCAGGAAAATTGGGACTTTAAAATGTTAAACTCCTCAAAACACAATAAAAGTAGTATGAATAGTCATTGCCAAAAAATAAAGCATTCGTGTTGTCAAAGGTATCTAGATATTATAAGTCAACACCTACTTCCTGGAATAATTTGAGCGCCGAATCAGTTTGATTCATTATAAATTATTTATATTAATCCCAGTGTGTTTAAGATTAAATCAAAACAAGATTTTTCTGTATACGTTTTGCTGTGTAAGCCACAGCTTCATCAGCAGATTTGTTCGTATTTTTATTAATCATCAAAATTTATAGTCAAAATTTTTACATAAACTGAAATTCTTTAGTTTAGTTTGTAAGGGTTAGTTTTGTTTTTATGAGTTGATCATGGATTGATATCAGTTAGAGAACCATTAAAAACCAGGGAGTACTGGACAGCTGTTTCATCCTAGTTTGGTAATCATCGGCAGTACGCACCGTGATCAACTCGTAAAAACAGAACTAACCCTTACAAACCAAACTATAGAATATTAATCTAATGCTCACTAGTGACTTGCTACAGGATGGAGTTTCCTGGAATTCTAGTGAGAAGTCGTGACCAGTGAGGTTCAACCAGATGTCACGTGTGAGGATGGATGTCCCACCAACGACATTGGTTGGGGTCGCGCTAAGTCACGAATTGGTAGAAGTTAGAATTCATGGGTTGGCCATTGAATCGAGTCCCAGTGGTTGAATGGTATACGAGCTTGCCTTGTAACCGGAAGATACTGGGTTCGAGTCCCCGCCTTTTGGGTGCGTACTGGCGATAGTTCCCAAACTAGGATGAAACAGCAGCTGTTCAGTACTCCCTGGTTTTCAATGGTTCTCTGTTATCAATACGTGATCAACTCGTAAAAACATAAATTGAAGTCAGTTAATTTGAAGGTCATTTGTCCATGGACATTTGTACCAATAGAAATATGTAAGCAGTCATCACATATATTTGTAATGACTAATGTCAAATTGTTATTGTTTATTTTTTTCTACAGTTGATTTGTAAGGATTAATTTTGTATGAGCGTGTGTGTGTACATGTAATTTGTCATATGCTTTTCAGCGGTTCTCTAACTGATATCAATCCGTGATCAACTCGTAGAATGAATTAGTGTTATGAACAACATTAATGTTGTTTGAATAACATCGAATCAATAATATTGATAGATTACAGCTCAATAGCATCAACATAAAATAAGCTGAATGTCAGAAAAATTATTAAAGATAATAATACAAATTCATGAATTTAAAGTCTCTACTGAAGACCAGGGCAGTAGTAGTAGCTGGACTTGCTTCTTTTGAACACAGAGCACTGGTTATTTGAGGCGAATCGCTATAGCCTCCGCTATTTGTGCCATGCGGTGCTTCGGTGATTTTGGAAATTTATTTGGCACCCGGTAGATTATAGAGAAGGATTCTTCCACGCTGGCTTTGTGGTCGGTTCCAGTTTTCCCTTATGCTCCTTTTATTGATAATATTATCTAGTAGCTTTTCCATATCGAAAGGACACATCTGAACAACTTCAAAGACTATTTGCTTCAAATAATATTAAAGTCTATTTCAAACCCTGTAATTCTCTGGAGAAAGCTTTGGTGAATGTCAAGGATATGGTTCCCATAATGTCACAAAGTAATTGTGTCTATAGGATAAAGTGTTCAGAATGTGAAGCATGCTATATAGGAGAGGGGTGAAGGTCAGAGTGAATGAACATTCACTATGCACGAAACACCCACCTAGAAATGAAGTAGAATTAAAAAGTCTAGAAAAAAGATCAGCTACAGCAATGCATGCGATAGACAACGGACATAAGATCGATTTCAACAGTGTCGAAATTCTAGGTAGAGGCTTGGATTCACCACACTAAGAAAGGCTGACCTCTCGAACCTTGCATATTTTAACCACATCGAATACAGTGAATAGGAAAGAAAGGATAGACTTATCACTTATATGGCAAACTCTTATGAAGCAAGACAGATGAAAAAAAACACAACAAAAACTCTATGAGCCTCCATGACCTTTTTAAAAAGGTATTATCATGATTATCACATGTGAATTGACGTCTTTCCATATGCAAATAACATGTACACACACACACACGCTCATACGAAATTGATCCTTACAAATCAACTATAGAGAAAAATAAACAATAACAATTAGACATTACATGGAGGATTTCATCATGAGCTGACATCAGTTAGAGAACCACTGGAAAACCTGGGAGTACTGGACAGCTGTTTCCTCCATGGAATTAAACAAAATCCCTACCAAACCAATACTTGAAAATTAGACATTAGTCATTACAAATATATGTGATGACTGCTTACATATTTCTATTGGTAAAAAATGTCCATGGACAAATGACCTTCAAATAACCTGACTTCAATTTCTGCAAAAATTTTTGACTATATATTTAGATGATTAATAAAAATCCGAATAAATCTGCTGATGAAGAAGCTGTGGCTTACACAGCGAAACGTATACAGAAAAATCTTGTTTTGATTTTCTTAAACACCAAATGCAACTGAATATAAAACAGGTCCATTTTATGCATTCGGTATCTTATCAGTTACGTTGGTGGCATAGTGGTGGAATGCTCGCCAACCACGCCTCATGTGGTTCAAGGTTCGATCCCAGGCCACTGGACGCACTCCTTTACCTCGCTAAGCCAGTAATAAGGCTAGTAAACAGGGAAGGTTGGGCTTGAGGCTAGCAACCTCATCCCGTAAAAATAAACACCACTGCTAACAACACTTCAAAGCTTTAGTTTGAAGCCCTATTTTCCACTGGGAATGTAAAGGAAAAAAATAATCAGTGTTCGTATTACAAGTTTAGCTTACACAAAATCATTGAACAATGATAATGTCCAACAAAAGGTGTCATATATTACATATGAGTGGATGATCGAAACATTGAATAATTGAATGAATGAATCTTCATTTAGTCTATGTATAAATGTGTCTGTTTATCCCTGGGAACGTCTCATTAAAGCATATGATTAACTTCTCCATTCGTTCTAGTCTCTGACTCCTTCCAGTAGTGCTCATCCATGGCCCTCCCCTTCCCCCCTCCTCCTTTAGTCCCAGTTTTGCGGGTGATTTTCTGTATTTCACCGAAATGTAATGTGTTCCACTGCTGGCGTTCATGATATATTTTGACATTAGTTGAACAACTAAAACTATTCCATTCCTGTTTTTTTAATTTTTGTTTATCATAAAGCATATGTGTACGATATTTACATTGATAAGGTTAAACACAGAATGAATATTCAGACATTTTTGCGAGAAATCTGTGTAATTAAGAAATGCGCTGTTGTCCTCAGTTTTCTTTGTTTGTTTTTTTAGAATACGTAACTCTATTTCTTTGTATGAAATAATGAAACCACTATATTTAACTGGTATACTGTATGGAGCTGAATTCTCCATTTACACATTTCACTCTCTCTCTTTGAAAATCTATAAATAAATAAATCTATAAATATTATTCATGCTACAGTACGTGAGACACCTGACAGTTACAAAACTCTCCAATGATCGCAAAATGATGATGATTATTCGCTGTAAAATACATGTGGTTCTATTCGGTGTGACAATTTTTTTCCTTCACGTTCCCAGTGGAACATAGGGCTCCAAGCTAGAGGCTTGAAGTTTCTGTAGCAGTGTTAATTTTTACAGGATGGGTTTGCTAGCCTCAGGCACAACCTTCCCGCTTTACCAGTCTCACTACTGGCTTAGCTAGGTAAAGGGGTGCGTCGTCGGCCGGGTATCAAACCCCGGACCATGTGTATGGTCGGCGAGCGTCCTAACCTGTGTGCCACCGACGCACTGGGGCCCAGCCGGGATAGGAACCCGGTGTGACAATAATAACATCGAAAACTCAAAATTACCTCAATAGTGCTGTTAAACAGCTATATACAGACAAAGTGAAAACTGTAGAGAAAAAAAAATGAGTTAACCAAAATTCAACTGTGAGTAGTAGATTAAAATCAAGCAGAATGTTCTCAACAAGGTGGGATCAGAGTTCTATCTGCAGGAACCTCACACTCAGGTTTTTGCCGAAGACAGTCCTATTTCAGAATCACCTTGGTTCACTGAAAACAGAAACGCATCACTAAACAACACATTATCAATATTATCGCACAATGATAAAGCGAAGCATTGAAGTTAGAGATTGAACAGTTACAAAGACAAACAATAAGGATCAAGCCAACAATATTATTTTTATTGTATTGTTGTCCTATTGGGTTCCGAGTGGAACATACGGCTTCAACAACACATCTCCACTTTGTTCTGTTTTCTGCCATCCTCTTCAGCTGGGTCAACGATTGCCCAAACTCTCTTATCTCCTTCTCACACGATCCCCTCCATATCACCCTCGGACGACGCTCTCGTTGCTTCCTATTTGGATTCCACTCTAGCGATGGGCATTCACTGCACGCGATGTCATTCAACGACTTCCTTCCTCAACGTATGCTCGATCCGTCTACGTTTACTCCTACATATTTGTTGAGCAATCGGCTCTTGCCTGTTGGTTTGTTGTCAGCCAGAGTTTCTTCTTGTTAATTCTCTCTGGCTGGCCGGCCGGTCATTTGATCTTCGGTATAGAGCTAGCTGGCGAAGGTGGCAGCTGTTGATAAAAGTCGACAACTTGTTGGAAATCCTTTTGGTGACTCACGCGCAGTACAAGTTTCTGACCCGTATAGAAGGACTGATTTGACATTTGTGTCGAATCAAGTTAACATGTGGTATGCAAATATCAGAACATTGATATCCAATCTAGCAGAAAAGATGGAAATACCTACAAAGTTAGTATCAATATTCTGATTAGATCATTGAGAAGGGATTTTGCAAACAATTATATCGTTAATTCAATTTTAGATTTTCCCGTCGATTGATTGATCGGACTGAAGTGCTCGGTCTCAGGTTGACATGTCGGCTTCTTGTACAGATGCTTCGACTATGTATTGGCATGTAATTATAAGTTAATTGGTGTATGGTGACTAGCAGTGTGGAATCGAGGATAACGCGCATTCCGTCCTATTTGGGACTCGTCAGCGCATCCTGGACTCCACTGCTAGTCACCATCCACCAATTAATTTCTAGTTATATCGATAGACAGTGACATTCTAGGTTATCTTAGAAGGATTTATTGTCTGTTACTCCAGCTAATCACTAAACTGTCGTTGTCATCGTCTAAAGATCTAACCATACAAATGCCAAATTGGATGTTTTCACGAAGAAGATGCTTAGGATTATTAACACTATTTAGCATTCTTATAATTATAATGTTAAAGTCAACCGAATAATCATTCACATATATATATATGTACGAAAAAACAAATATATGAAATAATAACTGTATCCTAATATTTTTTTGTTGTTGTTCTTATTCATTTTCAGATGATTACCCCGCAAAGACTGAGTTGTAAAATTCGCCTTGAAAACAATCTTCAAGACGCTTCCGTCCATATATATATATATATATATATAAACATTTGTATGTATGTATATTGAGTGTTTTAATCTTTCTTTGGCTGTGTGCGTGGAGGGGGTCGAATTTCTACATGGATTCATCTATCCTCTTGACTTTAGAACTTCTACCAATGCTTACTGTTTTTTTCTTCTGACAACACCTACTTTTATTGACACTAGAATGATCTCTGATGATCCACCCTAGACAACACAACACAACGATATAAACATTCTTTTTTTTATTTCCCCTTCTTCTTTGTTTCACACTGTATACAACATATTTTTCTACAACTCAGTACTCAATGTATGTGTGTGTGTATGTAGGTATATTTGTTAATTGCTCATTTATGTGTGCATGTGTGTGAGCACTTCTTGTCAAATGATAAAATCTTCTTTATGCTCTTCTGCGAAAAAGCTCTATTGTGTATAGTTTGTAATACAATTTTTGCAATTTACACATGTATGAAGTGGGCTTTTTTCTAAAGGAGAGAAACACACACTCTCACAAACACACAAACACGACACAACTGTATCTGTATTTCAAAAAGCTACATATTTAGGTATATAAGACAGCTGCTATTTGCTGCAAATTTGGATATTCCGGTAGTCATTCAATCAGAGTAATTTATTGGATTTTTTTCTTTTTTTAGAAGTTTGATTATGGATTGATGTCAGTTAGAGAATTATTATTATTATTGTTTCCTTTAATTCCTAGAGGAACATAGGGCTTCAGCCGTGCGTCTCCACTGCGTTTCGTTCTCTGCTAGAGTTTTCACCTGGCTCCAAGTCTGCGCATATGCTTTCATCTCCTCTTCACATGACCTCCTCCAAGTCACCCTTGCACTGACGACCAACTCGCCACTTCCCTTTCGGGTTCCACTCGAGCAATGGCTTTTCTAGTGATGTCACTTGATGGTTTCCTCAGAGTATGGCCAGCCAATCCATCTCCATTTCTTCCTGCCTATTTGTTTCACAATCGGTTCCTGGTTGGTTCGCTCCCAGAGATCTCTATTGCTGATCTTTTCTGGTCGGCCATCTGATCTTGAGTAGTATTGAGCGAAGACGACCGTTAATGAAGGTCTGCAGTTTGTTTGAGAGGCTCTTTATGACGCGCTGGCCAAGTCTCTGATCCGTATAGTAGCACTGATTTCACATTGGAGTTGAAAGTCCGGATCTTATTTTCGATGCTCAGTGCTGTTGACCTGCACACAAACTTGAGAGTAATGAAAGCTTGTCTTGCTTTTCCGATTCTTGCTTTGATATCCTCGTCAGTTCCGCCTGTAGTTGAAATGATGCTTCCCAGGAAGGTAGGTGAAGGAGGTTGTTTCTTTCAGGTTCCTTCCATTTATGCTGATTGTTGTCTGTTGTTGTTGCTGTTGGTGGTGTTGTCGAGGAATCTTCATCACCTCTGTTTTCTGTATGTTCACCTGAAGTTAGACCTATCTTTGATGCTTCTTCTGCCAACTTGTTGCTTTTCGCCTGCATACCTTCCAGTTTGTGGGAAATCAGACATATATCATCGGCGAAGTCCAGATTCTCCAAATTTTTTGTGTGAGTCCATTTTATGCCTGTTTCCTCATTGCCCTCTGTTTGTCGCATTATCCAGTCTACCGCAGTCAGGAAAACCATTGGCGATAGTAGACAGCCTTGTCTTACTCCTGTCCTCACTTCGAAGGATTCCGTATGTTTCCCGCTGTGGATTACTTGGCATGCAGCATTGTCGTACAGCTGTTGGTATTATTGAAAACTTACTGGACAGCTATATTGTCCTAGTTTGAGACTCTTCATCAGTAAACAGTCACCGAGACTTGAACCCGGTGGGACCTTCAGGTGGTCACGAGGCGAAATTCGTTAATCATTCAACTACTTGGGTTGGGATCCAGCGGCTCATGAATTCTAACTTTTTGTCAATTAGCTATTTCAGTGTAAGTATTTGTCCTCAGGCTCCAGGAAACTTTATCCTGCGACCAGTCGTCACTAGCGAGCATGAAACTGATTTTCAAGAGTTACTATGTAAGGATCTGATTTGTTTCAAGTTTGATCCCAGATTAATTTCAGTTAGAGAACCTTTGATAACTAAGGAGTACTGGGACAGTTGTTTCGTCCTAGTTTGGGATTCATGAGCTCTTACCGATGAAGAGTTCAAAACCGGTACGAAACAGCTATCTTTGACTTCCTGGTTTTCAGTGGTACTCTAACTGATATTAATCTGTGATCAAATATCAAAACAAATCAAATTCATCTCTCTGTTCCAGTCTCCTCGTTAAAATATTTAGCTTTACACCGAAATCAGGGTGAAGTGGATACTCTGTGTCTGTCTGTCGGGGATATTCTACACAGATTCTTAAGATTTATTACTTAATGCGTTTTTGTTATGATTGTTCAACTGTAGAATTATTTTTTGACGCTCGAAATGCTCTAAACAGTACGTCATGTCATCATTTTATTCACAACTGACTGTTAGAAAATGATTTCGGCTTCTTTACCAAGAACATAGCTGATGAATATACGATGGGTTTTCGTACGTTTAGTTAAATATGATCTGCAAACGGTGAAGAGTCAATGTTTTCTTTATATATTGGTTGGTAGTTTAATTCATTGAACGTGACCATTAGAAATCTAAAAACTTGATCAATAAGCAAAGAATATTCTTTTCGATAATCACCTCTTTATCAGATTCCATAACTATATGCCTATACTAATTAAAAGAGTGATTCGTATTAACAACACTGATGATTTAATTTACATTGGATCAATAGTATCGATTGATCATGGCTCAAATGCATCAGTAAGAGAGAGATGATATGTATCAGTATTACACTAAACTGATTGAATATTAGGTAAATTCAGGGAAGTAACACAGAATTTATGGGTTTGAGAGGAGGCTAGGTTAGCAGTAGTCGCTAGCTGGACCTGTTTCGTTTGCAGGTAGAGCTGCGGTTGATTTAAGCGAATTACAATGATCTCTTCTGTTTGAAGTGTTCGATATCTAGAAGCCTTTGGTAATTGATTTGATACCCTGTAGATAATAGAGATAAACTAGTCAATGCTGCTTGATTTGTGACCTGTTTGCACCAGGTGATCTAATATAGGACTGTTAATCGCTTTGAAAACACCTTTACTTAACCACACTGGTTGATGTTCCCGAGCACGAAAAAATTAAGTTCGTAGAGTGACGGCCAATATAACTGGCTCCATGGGAGAAGTTGGTAGATTGATAGGTACAATTAGAGGTGGCTGGCCTCGGTCCTTCGCAACCTGTGCAATCCGCTCAAATCAGCTGGAGCACTGTATGTAAAAGGGACAGGTTCGGCCAGTGACTATTGCTTCCCTGGCCTGCTCTCGAACACATAAATTCTATGTTACTTCACTATTTATCTGATATTCAATCATTTTAGTGTGATGTTGATGCGTATCATCTCTCTCTTTCGGATGCTTTCGAACTGTAATCTATCGATATTACTGACTCAATATAATTTCAAAAAAAGTTGATGCTGTTAATAAAGATGATTCTTTAATTAATACTGTCATATAAATGTAGAACCTGATGAAGAAAAGATTATCGAAAAGAATATTCTTTTTTCCATTAATCAGTCTTCAGAATTAATAGTTTATACGAGTTTGACCACGGATTGATATCAGTTAGAGAACCATTGAAAACCAGGGAGTACTGGACAGCCAGCTATTTCATCCTAGTTTGGGAATCATCGGCAGTACGCAACCACAGTGCGGGGGTTAGAACCCAGGACGTTCCGGTTAGAAGGAAAGCTCGTTTACCATTCAGCCACTAGGACCCGACGCAGTGGTCAGCCCATGAATTCTAACTTCTACCAATTCGTGATTTAGCGCGACCACCAACCAATGTTTTCGGTGGGAAATCCATCCTCACACACTTGACTGGAAGGACCTCACTGGTCACGACTTCTCACTAAAACTCCATCCTGTAGCAAGTCACTGGCGAGCATCAGATTAATTTTCAAGAGTAAAAACAAATCTAATCCTTACAAACCAACTCTTGAAAATTAATATTTTAGTCAAATTTTCAAGGATTGAATTTAGGTATGAAACTCCGGAACCAATTAAGGCGAAATGTTTCTATTTCTCGAAATGAAATATTTTTTGTTTAATGAGAGCTATATTCTACCTAATCATTTTTACCCTAAAAGGCAATATAAGTAGTGAGGGACTTGTTGACATTTCAGTAAGGCTGTTTTGTCTGTGAAGTCAAACAAATTGAGAGATGGGTCAAGCAGCCTCAGTGCATTCAGCTAATTATACGTGAATAATGTATGTGTTTGGATTTCACTTCATGTAAATTAGTTAATAAATACATGCCTAACTGTGCGATGCCACTATATATGCTAGTTTGCTCTCCTGTACAGTGTTGAACAAGTTACTAAGGTTCCAATGCTTTCTAGATTATTTTTTTGTTATTCTCCTGGGTTCTGAGTGGAAAAATAGGGTTTCAGCAGTACATCTCCATTCCACTCGGTTCTCTGCAGTCCTTTTTAACTGCCTCCATGACTGCTGACAAGCTTTCATCTCCTCTTCACACTATCTCCTCTATGTCACCTTCAATCCCATATCCAACTCGTCTCCTTTTCGAGTGGTAAGCGATTTCACTCAACGGTCGCTGCAGCGCATGTCCGACTCATCTTTACTTCCTTCGGCATATTTGTTTGGCGATAGCTTGTTGACTGGTTGTTTGTCAGTGTTCCCTGTCGACCTAACGAAGGTAGCTGTTGGTGAGAGTCTTTAACCTATTGGAAGCGTTTCTAGTGATGTGCGCGCCAAGTCTCTCTACCATATAGAACCGCTAATTTGAGATTAGCACTGAAGATTCAGATCCTATCCCTTGTGATGAGTGTGAAAGACATGCACAATTTATTGATTTTAGATTGATGAATGTATGTCATGCTTTCTCGATCTCGACTAGACTCGGCATCCTCATACGTAACGACTGTAGTTGAAATAGTGATGCCTACATTAGTGAAAGAAGTGTCTTCCTTCAGATTTTC